GTGTGCGAGAGATCTGCAGAGTGGATGATCAACATCAGCAGCCTGAGGTATCAAGACATTTGTGCTGCCCATTACATTACAAACCACAGGAGAGGGCAAATTCTCCAGCAGGATAGCGCTCCTTCTCATACTTCAGCCTCCACATCAAAGCTCCTGAAAGCACAGAAGGTCAAGGTGCTCCAGGATTGGCCAGCCCAGTCACCAGACATGAACATTATTGAGCATGTCTTGGGTAAGAAAGAGGAGGTATTGAAGATGAATCCAAAGAATGTTTATGCACACTGGGAGTCCTGCAAGAACGCTTTCTTTGCAATTTCAGATGACTTTATTACTAAGTGATTTGAGTCATTGCAGAGATGTATGGATGCAGTCCTCCAATGAGGAGTCATACACAATAATTATTCTTTATCCACTCCAGCATGACTTTATATTCTATACTGTCATTATTTCTGTTCAGTGACAAGACTTTTGTCTAAGCACAGTCAGACCTTACTGTCCTAATTAAAGCATTAAAAATCAAGGCATGATCATATTTTATTTTGGTATAATAAGCGTAATCTAGAGGACTTTACCTTTCATATAAGCCACTTCCGATACCAAATGATCAACTAGAGGTCAAGTTATTATTTGTTGTTTCTAAAACTTGGATAGGTGACAGTAATTTTAAGAGATAGTGTATGATTTCAGACTTTGGACAATATTTGTAAAGTATAAATTAAAATCGAAAGTAGAATGGGACGTTTGGTGGTATTTGATTTGAATTTAGCCTCTGAAAAGAAATCTCAAAATATTACATGTGGATTGCTTTAGCAAAGTAATGCTTTACGACTCTGAGTATTCTTGTCACAAATTAATAAATAACAAAAAACAATATCAAAAATCAATCTGTAAACATAAATGATTTAACATATTAAAATTCTTACATAATATCTACATTAAAGCATGTTATCCACTTCTGTTACAGCAATAAACAAAATACTGAACTTTTAAAAACAGCATCACATGCGCTCTTTAAGACTGATTCTTGACTAAATTTCGCAGCTTAAATGCACAGCGCTCTGGGCTGTTTTTCCTTTTGGTTAAAGTCTGCGTATATTATTGCTGTCCTTTGAGTGTATCTGCGCGCTATACAGTTTGATTAGTCATTGGAAAAGGCGCCTGATCTCCACGTATCCCCTTCACACCCACGACTCGTGCTTATAGCAGCTGAGCTTTAAACAACACCTATTACTCTTACGCTGTCAATTAGGATAATTTATGGCTGTAATTCAGAGCCGGCATGAATTGTGGTGTTTTGATGTTGGTAAATACTTAGAAGTTAATTGGGGGCATCTGCTCCGGGGAGTTCGGGCGAAGAATGGGAGACTGTTGTGTTTTCACGCATGCTTGCCAATTAACGACTCCCACCTCAATGCCACCGAACGCAAAACAACTCGCAGACCCCACGTTTAACAAGTTTCGGAATCTCTGAGGTGTGTGTGTGTGTGTGTTTGATGGAGTTGTAATTGCATGGGTGCATTTTACTTCCTCTGCATGGGAGTTTCTCTGCACTTTTGACCCTTTTATACTCACACTAGTTTTAATTTGTTCCTTAATTTCATTTGTCTGCTCTCTGTGTCAGTGCATATTCACGCCGTGAACGAGAGATGAATTTTAAGCTGATTTTACGAGAAAATGTAGCCTGCTTGTAAAAGGTGATTTTCTTTGAATTCCTGATGCAATTAATGCAGAAAAATACTTTTTTTTTTCAGGAAAAAAAAATGAATATTGGAAAAAAATTGCAAGTTCATTGGAAATTCTTGTTGAGTTAAACATTACAAATTTTCTTAAATAAATGTTTATTATTTAGAAGAAATCATTGAAATAATAGTTTTTTTTTATTGTGTTCATCAGATTATTACAATATGAACAGAAATCAATGCAATATTTAATATTTCTATAATTTTAATATAATAATTTATATATATATATATATATATATATATATATATATATATATATATATTTGTGTGTGTGTGTGTGTGTGTGTGTGTGTGTGTGTGTGTGTGTGTGTGTGTGTGTGTGTGTGTGTGTGTGTGTGTGTGTGTGTGTGTGTGTGTGTGTGTGTGTTTTTGTGTGTGTGTTTACAGTTATACAGATATACAGTTAAAGTCAGAATTATTAGCCCCCCTGAATTATTAGCCACCCGGTGAGTTTTGCAAGTCAACAAAACAAGGTTTAAATAATATGATGGTAATCTTATTTAGACTAAGCATGGCTCCTGATATTAATTAGTATGAAGCAGAAAGGAGGGATGAAGTCAGGGAAGTTAGACTTAATAAACCTAATTCTCGGCCATAAGTCGGGATAAAGACAATACACAACAGATAATTCTATAAAACATCTTTTTTTGTATTCTATTGAATTGTCTATAGAATTTCATTCTGCTAAAATTAATATTCATGCAAAAGATTTCTTAAATTATCTTAGCGTCACTCCAGTTGTGTCTTTCGATTGTTTTCCAGTTACTTTTAGAATTAATTTCTGTTATTTATTTAGAAAAGGTAATGATTCGTACTCAAGTAATTGCTTCGTGCTGTTTTTTTATTTTTTCTTTCTCTTACATTCTATGGGTGATTAAAAGACAGACGTTTCGGCACAATGCTTTCCTCAGTGTGTGACACAATCCTCTCACTCCACCCCTTTTATCCCAAAGTCAATCACAATGCGCAATTAGTCAGACCGCCACTCTCATTTCATTACCCATTATAAACCACACAATTACTATCTTTACACTTTAAACATCATTCCACAGAAAAAACAGTGTATCAACTATTATCATTTGTCAAGTGTACATTAATAACATAAAAATCCAACAGGTAACATTACATTTTTTTTTACATTTGACAATTACTCAAAGATTAAGAAACAAACAAATCTTACCGTCACCTCTACCCACATAACTAACCATACAAGAAACATTTACCCTCACCTTCAAAAACAATTTCACAGGAAAATGGTATACCTATATCAACACAGTGACATTTCGATGCCAAAACATTACAGAATATACATTTGTTATATTGTATCGATCATCTCAGTGGCAACTCTGTTCGCCAACTGTCTCTTTTTCATTTCGATATATCATGATGATCAATCATACGAAAAAATACCTTTACCTTCAATAACATTATTTCACCAGAAAATAGCATAAACCATCATCATATTTACCAACAGTCTGTTTTTCATTACAATATATCATAATAAACCACACGAAAAATACCTTTACCTTCAAAAACATTTCACAATTATTATTTATTTAGAATAAAACTGTTATTTAGAATAATACTGTTATTAAGAATAGTACTGTTTATTGCGACTTCCTGATGCCTCCTATAAGTCGCTCGAGAGGCTTTTTTTTTTTTTTTTTTATTGAAAATACAAAATCCAAATACAACAAAATGGGATTCAACTTTACAACTTGTGTGTCATATATGGAAGGCTCAACACAAAATAATATACAAAGATACAAATGTAATATACAAAAAACATTCAAGTTAAATAAATCCAAGAGTGAAAGGAAAACGCAAAATTTAAATAAAAGTCGCTCGAGAGGCAGTGTGGGTCCTTTTAATTTGTGACGCGCTGGTGGCTTTAGACAGACACACTGAGCCCACACTGAAAAAAGTGTTGCATGCAAAACTGTTGCAAACAATTTATTTGTGTTGAATTTAAACAATCAAATTAAATTGAATAATGTTCAACTTAATGTGTTTGTTTAAATTCAACACAATTAAATTGTTTACAAACACTTAACATAATAAAATTGAGTAAATCCAAGGAATCATCTTTGAATAATTTTTTTTTCTTGCAAGATGTTATAAGGAAAACTTTATGTAAACTTGAAACATGACAAACAATACAATGTGAGTTGAATACCTGTTTTGTATTGTGCCGATTATTGCGTTGGTGTGATGGTTGTTGCGTGTGCCGTTGCGATGCCGTTTTGCGCTGCTGTTTGCGGTCAACAAAAAATACGGCTACCCCACTTTCCTTCTCTCCTCCTAACACCTGTGTGATTGTGCACGCGCTTTATATGTTCTAGCAGGTGCCAGTTATGCCCACGTGACCAAAACATAAAACGTCACTGTGAAACCCAAACTAATCAGTATACAAATAAACATTATTATTAAATGAAAAGTAATATGGCTCCTATACTGTTCTTTATATAAATATAGTTTTTTTGGAGGGGGTGCTGTGCCCCAGTAGAGCCTTATGTCTAGCAGTACCCCTGCCTGTAATGCAGTTTGAGTGCTTCCATAAAGCATTGTTTTATAAAAGTATTACTTAAAATTGGGGCGAGGCAGTGGCGCAGTAGGTAGTGCTGTAGCCTCACAGCAAGAAGGTCACTGGGTTGCTAGTTTGAACCTCAGCTCAGTTTGCGTTTCTGTGTGTGGAGTTTGCATGTTCTCCCTGCCTTCGCGTGGGTTTCCTCCGGGTGCTCCGGTTTCCCCCACAGTCCAAAGACATGTGGTACAGGTGAATTGAGTAGGCTAAATTGTCCGTAGTGTATATGTGTGTGTGGATGTTTCCCAGAGATGGGTTGCGGCTGGAAGAGCATCCGCTGCGTAAATAACTTGCTGGATAAGTTGGCAGTTCATTCCGCTGTGGCGACCCCCGGATTAATAAAGGGACTAAGCCGACAAGAAAATGAATGATGAATGAATACTTAAAATTGTATGAATTCTTTAATAGTTCAGACGCATGAGTCAGAGCTAAAACATCTGAATTCTGTTAGCCATGACAAAACTCAATCCCCCAAGACATGTTTTTCCTAATTCTCCTCCGAAGATCCAATAAAAAGAATTTACAACTTTCTTTTGAGCAGAAACTTTTCTCCCTTCGCTGTTCTCCCTCTGTGTCAATTTCCACGCGCTTTCGTCTTCTCGTCCTTCTTCCCTTATTACATGGAGTCTTTCATCTCATCTGCTTTTCTCTTTCTGTTTTTTCTTCTTCTTCAGAATCCTGACATTGTGCTGGTCCACTACCTGAACGTGCCCGCCATAGAGGATTGTGGAAAGCCGTGTGGGCCCATCCTCTGCTCCATCAACACTGATAAGAAAGAATGGGCCAAATGGACCAAGGAGGAGCTCATCGGACAGCTCAAACCCATGTGTGAGTGTTCAACCACATTCACAGACTGTTAAATAATGTACAATTAGATTTTTCACTTCAAACATCAAGTTCACTTTTAAAAATAAAGATGTCGGGAAGAAGTAAGAAGAGTTGTTTTCACAGCGGAGTCATAGAAAGAACATTTTAAAGGAGTAGTTCATCTACAAATGAAAGAAATTAAGTGTAATCTTAAAAATAAAGATGTCGGGAAGAGCTATGACGAGTTGTTTTCAAAGTGAAGCCATAGAAGTACATTTTAAAAGGGTAATTCACCCAGAAATTAAAACAAAATAAGTTCAATAAAGATGTTGTGAAGAAAACAGAATAGTTGTTTTCTCAGCGGAGTCATGGAAAGAACGTTTAAAGGGTTAGTTCACCTAAAAATGAAAGAAATCTCATGTAATCTTAAAAATAAAGATGTCAGGAAGAGCTAAAATAAGTTGTTTTTACAGCGGATTTGTAGAAAGAATGTTTTAAAGGGTTCGTTCACCTGAAAAGCAAAAAGATAAGTTCACTCTTAAAAATAAAGATGTCTGGAAGAAATCAGAAAAGTAGTTTTCACAGTCGAGCCATAGACAAACATTTTAAAGGGTTAGTTTACCCAAAAACTGAAAGAAAATTAGGTTCATGCTTAAAAGTAAAGATGTTGAGAAGTGCTAAGAAGGGTTGTTTTCACAGTGAAGCCATAAAAAGACATTTTAAAGGGTGAGTTCACCCAAAAATTATAAAAATTAAGTTCACTCTTAAAAATAAAGATGTCAGGAAGAGCTCAGAAGAGTTGTTTTCACAGTCGAGCTGTAGAAAGAACATTTTAAAGGGATAGTTCACCCAAAAATTGTAGAAATTAGGTTCACTCTTAAATATAAAGATGTTGAGAAGAGCTAAGAAGAGTTGTTTTCACAGTCGAACTGCAGAAAGCGCATTTGTAAAGAGGTTAGTTCACCCCAAACTTATAGAAATTAAGTTCACTCTTAAAAATAAAGATGTTGAGAAGAGCTCAGAAGACCTAACAATTTAAACAAATTACCCAGCAGACACAGGACGTCAACATGAAGTTGTACCCCAACGTTGTGGGGACGTTGCATTTTGTTTGGAAATGAAAATCGGGTTGACGTTGAAATCCAATAATAAAGGATTGAGTAAAGAGAGTAAGCTGGAGGAAAATAAATGAACACATATCAATTTAAATTTTAAATTTTGTGAGGAACCGAAACGTTTCTTCCACACTATTAAAAGTAAAGTTTTTCATGGCATTGATGATTCCATGAAGAACTTTACTGACACCTTTTAATTCCTCAAAAGGTTCTGAGTTGAAAAACGAGATCTTTAAATTATGAAATGAAATTAAGAGAATAGTTCTTTGAAAAACATTTGGCTGAAATGCTTG